TACAACACGAGGCTGCTCTTTTGAAAGTGGCAAAGGGGGTCTCGAACAAGTGAGAGAACTCCCACAATGCCCCAGAAGCTCATCCCTCATGTTTCAGGCTCGAGGTCTTTCGAAAAAAACAAAGGAAAGGGGATAAGAACACGAGCCATTTACTTTCAAATATGACTATGCAAATCCTATAATAATTTTTTTAGACGACGCTGAATGGTGCGTACGGGTATCAGAGCGATATCGCAGGAGATCAAAGATGCAACCGAGTATAATACATAAGCCCACTGTCACTGCGAGCCCGCCGCAGAGCTTAAAATAACAGTTGTCAGTTGCAATAAAAAGTGGAGCTGTAACATTTTCATACCGATTCGGAGCCATTTTTATTCACCAAAGTATCAAACCAACACTTTTATTGGGGGGAAAAATGGGACAAAATCTGTAATTCATGTTTAATTTAATTGGAAATTTAAGGGTTTTCACTTTTTATGCGAGTTTGATGAGAAGATTGATTCCAACTTCTTGTCTTTGCATTAAAAAATTAGGCAAATTAGCTTAGCTTAGCATGCAGAGGGGAACCATGGGGAACCAGCTAACCTGGTTATGTGTATAGAGCAAACAAACAAGCTACAGCATGTTGATCGGTGAGCTTCAGAGGTGCTGGTCGACTACAGCTTGACGTATACTCCTGAACTGGCTCCACGCAGAGCAAGAGGCCTACACTTTGGGGATTTTCTTGCAAAGCGATGCAGTTAACAAGCAAAAATTCTCACCAAACTCCAGTTAGCGGGATGGTTTCTATGCCGCCATATTGCATTTCTTCCTGCACTTGAAACAATGGTATTTAAAACTGAGCAAATCATGTTGGAGTTGGGGTTAATAAATCTTGAACAACAGCTACTTTTAGTGAAATTTGAGCATCTGGCTGAGTCCATGCATGGATTGATAGAGCTATGAAAACAAGCGTATGGCTACATATTGGCAGAATATTGCAAATAAACTGGAATTACAAGCAAGGCAAATACAATTACAGCCCATTATATATGACATTTTGTTTGACTTAAGCATTTTGTTATCAATATGTGGCGTAAACATAGTTCACATCGACGCAACGGGTTGTAAAATTTCAGATTTCTGTTGCCCTGGAGGTTGGTCTGATTCTTTAAACAACGACAGTGACTTTGAGCAGCGATAAGCCCGGAATGCAGTGTTGGTGCCCCCTACAAAATAGTTGGGTAAACATTTCCATTTAACTGTCATTAAAATGGCTAATTCGCCAAAAGAACCAGCAGGACTGCCTTATAGCGGGACAACTTGACATTTTCAGCGTGTAGATTGCTGCTCGGAGGTTGTTTCGCACAAAGGGGATTTAGAAACTGCACCAGAAATGGCAGCCTTATACATGAAGTACACATCCAATGAGTCACACGACAACGAGTAGTAACTATTCCTTTAATATTATACAACATTTAAGTGCATTCAGGGTAGTACATGAGTTACACAGACTCAATTGTGAGTTCAGAAGCTATGACAGCATTATATACAGTATATGTCGTATCAGCTTGTTCCAACTCTCCACTGAAGGTAAATAGTGTTACACCAACCCAAAACTCCTCTATTCTGTTACTGTTGTTTGTTGCGGTGCATCATTTATTAAAAGTGCATGGTTTTATGTACACATTTTCAGCCTGACATACTGTAGGTGGCATCTTTGGAAAAACATAATCTCTGCAAGAATAAAAAATAAATATTTGGTTGTTTTGGATAGTGATTGGCTGCACAGCACAGGCTTGTTGGGAAGTTAGGGGGAGGAATAAAAAGCATTTTAGCAACAAAAAAGTCATACAATTTGGAAATTTACTTCCCCGTGTTTGCGTCAAAGCTGTGAATACTAGTCAAATGTCATTTAAATAGGCCTGTTTTTTTGAAAACTCAGTCTGACACTGTGTGGTTTTGGGCTCACGCCAATGCAAATGTCAGTTATAAATAACATAATGCAGACAGTGTGGATAAGATCAGGCGAGTCAAGCTTGTTTTTGACATCTCAATCATCTCTTTATTAAACCGTGTAAGTTCTAATGTCTTGTTTGGGAGTTGCAGGCCTCAAATAGTTCACATAACATACTATAACCAAACACAGAAACTGCTACGTGAAAGTCATAAAACAGCGAAAGGTTCGACTCGCGGGGCAGCAGAATAATCATTAGCCCACAACACACGAGCTTGTTCTGCCACATGTGACCACACTGACACAGATTGGTCCCTGCTTCAAACCGGCGTTACTAATACGAGACTACTGTACTGGTAGGTGGAAAGAAACTGGAACACGTCTGAACCAAGAGACAGAAACTATTAGTGACTTAAAGAATGTGTGAAGGAACAGTCGACACATCCGGTGCAACTGGGTTCCTCCTTCCTGTGGTGTGATCGCTTTTAGCGCTGAGGGGAATTCGTATGAAGTGATCGGTTCTCCCCCAAAAACGCAGAATTCATTCAGAGAAATATATCTCTAATTGCAAACTCTCCACAATCACCTCCCCTCCGCCACGACCCCAACTTTGACCCGACCTCCGCCGACAAGCAGCCCGGACGAAGACGGACTGTTCCTGAGAGCCGATCGCGGCGACAAATCTGTCATCGTCCTCACCTGAAAGACGAGAGGCAGACGCAGGAAGGGAGGAAGACAGAAGGCGAGAGGGGGGACAGAAATGAGGGGTTTCGCGACGGCGGCGACAGCCGAGGAAAGACGAGAGGAGATCAGAGAGGCGTCCTCGGCCGGGCGCTCGTCCTCACCTGAGCCCGCCGCTGCACCTCCAGTCACCCTTGGCAGACGTCCACAGCCGAGCACCAGAGGCGGCGGGGTCATCCAGGGGCCGCGGGGTCCCACCACGGGGGCAAAGCTCTCCTCAATCCCTCTGTACACACATACACACACTATTTCCATTCTCATTCCACATGCCCCCTTGACCTCACTATTAAAACACAGGAGCAAATCTCCCGATTGGTCACAGCGGCTCAGAAACAAATGATGCCAAATACCTGACTTCTGTATGGCCTTTTCTGCAGGGAGGCATGTGAGGGCTGCAGACGCCAAATTTGGCATTCCCCTTGTGCAAATAGATTTCAATATTGGGAGCGTTGTTTTCGGGGCAGCGTGGCGGTGAAACAATAAAGTGTTTTTGCACAAGAGTCGGCGGAGCTGGTTAACTTTCAGTTAGTCAGACTGCTGAGCAGAAGGTTCCTTCTATTATTACTAGCTGTTTTGATGTAGCCGCCTTGTTTTTAACCCCTGCATCCTGTTATTATCGCAGATTATTTTGCACCAACATCCATCTAAAACCTTTGAGTCACCAGAAGCAGCTCCAGCGTCATCGGTCTCTTTACACTGATTATCAAAACGCGGGGTACCCTTGTTGTACAGAGTCTCTCGTACATTCACTCAGTTCTGAATCGCCGTCGTTCATCGTGGCTTTTATTAATATTTCTAGCATGAACACCCTTTTTCACTTCTGATGTTTCCATCCGGTGTCATGCCTCAGTTTCCTGCGCTCCACCTTGTTTCCTAAATGCTTGATTTTTATCTCTTTACAACCTTTCATGTTCTGTGACTGCACCTCGCTGCAGCTAATAACTAATAATTCACACGCTTGCTGCTTTACTTTTGTTTTTCAGTGCATTATTGCAGTCACCTGTTGATTTAAGCCTCAAACTGACCTGCATGCATGAAATTAAACATCAAATAAGTCTAGAGAAAAAAAAAACGGAGGCCCTGCTGCAGCTGTGTGCGGACTTGTTTGCACATTAATATTCAGAAGACGCCGCTTGTGAATTCCTGGAATGATAATGAAGGTTTAAAAAAAAAAGATAATAAAAAGGTGAAAGATTTTTTAATTTGAGGAGGTGGTGGACTTTAGGTTTTGCACAGAGGAGCAACAGTTTTTTATGAACAACCTCAAAAAGAAAGAAAAGATTCATGCAGAACTTTGGATGTCAAAATTTACTTATAACCGCTTCGGTCAACAGCAAAAGACTCGATATGCGTCATATTTAGGAATGCATATGCACAGTATATGGTCCAAATCAGTTAAGTTGCCCTACCTCTCCGGCTTTAACACCAGTGGTAACCCACTGGAGCGTATGACTGTATCAAATACGGCTTTTCAACCCCGCACTGCACATTTTAATCTAAAGCTAGCAGCTGATTATCTCCTTTTCTCTCCTCCCAGCTACATCTCGGTTGTAGATTGTCGTGCATTTTGCGGTGCCGAAAAACACCCGTACGGTTCTGCTGCGGGAATCTCGAGCGAAGCCGATAACTTCCACCTGCCAAATGATCGAATCATCGACTCGGAGCGTTGAGGAAGCTGCATCCTCGCTGCGGTTCATTCGGCGGTCGAAAAAAAAAACAGAACATGGTTCCTCTTTTCTTCCCAGCGGAACACTTGAATCATTTCTCAGCAGCAGAGGTGGTGCGTGTATAGGTGCCGTCTGCAAGTTTGCAATCGCTGACCGCTGACATAGTGACTTTTTAAGATTCGTTTTGAAGCTGCAGCATGCAAAGGCGTGACTGTTTTGTGTATTTTTAGCAATATTTAGCCTAAAAATGGATCGTTTTATTTGCATGGTGCGTAAAAGCAGGTCGATAGGTGATAAGAAACGTCTGAACTGATGCCGTTTCCTCATGCGTCCTCCACGCTGACTGAATGATGGACGACCGACGTGTTTTTCATGTCGGTCGCGGCGTATTTATGTGTTCACGGGATGAGACAAAAGCCCCTTCAGCTCGCCTGGCCTGGCTGACCCCGTCGTTTGATTTGTTCCTCCATCGCTGCTGTTTACTTCTTCTCTTCCTGTTTGTGCTCAACTGACCGTGCGAGCTGTTCCTGTGAATGCCGGGTAGCAAAAAAAATAAAAAAACAAATAAAAATAAAAAAGGCGGGCTGCTGCAGTTGTGGCGGGGGTGTCGGAGATCACAGGAAAGAGGCAGAAATGACGGCTCTCGACCACAGCGCTAACATGTCAACAGAGATTAAACTAGTTTATTATTTTCAAAGAGGGGAAAAAAAAAAAATTTTACGAAACAAAAAAAGCAGTCATATTTTACACTAGTGATTATTATTAAATTTTTACAACCATTCAGTCTGCATAACATAAAGAAATAATTCTACATCTTTGTTTCTTTCGTATTTTTGGTACTCTGATTTTATACATACAAATAACAAATACAGGAACTTTTTTCACAATGCATATAATCTGTGGGCAGGAAGAAAGTCTTTCAGGTGTGTGTGTGTGTGTGTGTGTGTGTGTGTGCATGTGTGCATGTGTGTGTACGTGCGCGCTTCAACACAAACCAATTGCCCGAGACCTATAGCACATCCAAAATGGAAAAAAAAAATAAAATTAAAAAAAAAAAAAAAAAGAAGAAGAAGAGAGACGCCTGCAGCCGGAGCCGCCGACTCTCTGCAAACTTAATGCAACACAATTCATGCAGGCGAAAACCGAGGCCTGCCCTTTCTCTAAAGTCTTTTCCCTCCCTCACCTCCTCCTCCTCCCTTTTCTTTTTTTTTTTTTTCCTCCCCCTCCGGGACTCGGAGGCGTCCTCTCCTCTCCTCACTCCTCCGGCGGCAAGTCTCTCCACCTGCTGCGACTCGTACCCTTCTTGTCGTTAGCTGCCCAGGGGCATGTTTCCTCTTTTTTTTTTTCTTACTTAATTAAAAAGTCTTCATTAAATGTACTGTATTTCATACAATTTGTACAAATATATTCAGCGTCTGTCTCCCCTCAGCAGAAGAAGAAGAAGAAGAAGAAGAAGAAGAAGAAGAAGAAGAAGAAGAAGAAGAAGAAGAAGAAGAAGAAGGGGAGCTGGGGGTTTCCTGTTACACAGGTGCAAGGTGAAGAGAGGCGGGAAATTAAGGGAGAGGGCGTCAGAAAAGTTTTCTGTGATGTTGTGTGTGGAAAAAAAATGGCTTTTTGTACACAAATGGAGCTCCTTTATCGTTGTGGATCAGCCTCAGTGTGGTGGCGGCAGCGGCGACGGTGGCGGCTTGGGGAGAAAACCCGCAACAAAAATCTTCCCCCTGGAGGTCAGTGCGCCACAGTCAAGTCTGCAAAGCATTCACATCGCAGAGGTACGCTCGGATTTTATAAAAATAAGATGCAACCGAGGGGGGGGAAAGGAAAAAAAAAAACAAAAAAAAGGAGCCTGTCGTATTCGCTCGAGACAGGGGAGCTTAGATCGGAACCGAGAAGCAGTTTATTTAGTCTTTTTAGGATATGGAAGCAGGTCAGTAGAGGTACCGAAGGGCGTGGTGGTGGCGAGGCCGAGGGTTCAGGAGCGCTTCGAGGCGGTGGAGCTCTAGCCCATGGCCGTCACCATACTGGAGGGGTGGTGGGGGGCGAAGGGGAGGCTGGAAGAAGGGTGCATGGGTGTGGGGGTGGTCAGCATGTGGCCTGAGTGCGAGAAGGGCGGGAAGGAGGACATGTGGCGGGACAGGGCGGCCGGGCTGAACGAGCTGCTCTTGTCCATCAGGCTCTTGGAGAAGTCTTCCATGTTGTCTTGGGCCTTTTTGCTCTTCTTGGACTTGCTGGACATCTTCCGGTTCCTGGTCTGGATGCCTTCCTTCTTCATGGTCAGAGGTCGGTTGATCTGCTCTCGAAAGGAGACAGGAGAGATGGCAGATTAGTATTTTTTGTCATCGTGAGCGGTTCCGTTCACATGAGATGGAGATCTGGAGCTCCATTTGCATTAAGCAACACAATAAAGAAAAACAAACCCTCAAATGAGGGGCGTCACCGAGTTTCAAAATAAATCAGAAAAATGTGGCTCACAGGGAGCTTTTTAGTTTCTTAGAGGCAGATTTTGGGGTTTTTTGGACGGACATAATGATATGTAATGGAGTCCCATTACGAGGCAAATCTGACTGGAGCATCCCGAAACAGAAGATTGTTTATATATACTCTTTGTGTGCACGCATGTGTGTGTTGGGTTGGATTTAAATGTTGATTCCTTTAAGCTGGACTGTATCTGAGGCTGCGGCCGTGCCAGAAGGAAAGAGAGAGAAAAAGGGGAAGATGAAGGAGGGGGATGGAGAGAAGATGGAGAGAGTGTGTGCAGAAGGGTCTGGCAGCTAATGTGCAGCCGCTCGGCCACAGAGACACATGGCCATGACGACCGCCGGCGTCGGCCAAGTCCTCCTCTCCACCCGCCTCCTCGACCGCGTGGCCATCTCTTGGCCAAAATGGCCCCAGCTGCCATATTCCAGCATAGGTTTAGCCGGGAACAAGAGCTGGATGATGGAATTCCGGCTGTGGGCAGGATTATGAGGGGAGGTGGATGAGGCCGACTGGCTTCCTGATCTTTCTCAGCGGTTCTTCCCGGGGAAATGGGAACGGGGATTTCTTCCTCACTCTCTCCCGAGCTACTCGGAGACATTGGCATTTTTTCGCTGACTCTTTAAACAGAGTGGCCTCGATGATTAGCGGAGGGCAGAGATCTGTGCCCTCCCCCAGCGATGTGGTTTCATTCTCTAAGCTGTGACTCCATACTGGGTGACTTTCTCTGCCTCGCTTCCAGCTCTGAGGCATTGCTACGCCCACCTAAAGCCAGTCAGGCCTCTGCTCTTTGATGCTGAGATGTCTACCGTCTCGCAGAGGAAGCCTTGGGCCTCCGGCCTGCGCTCGGCCGCCGCCCCGGCACATCAAACAAAAGCTGAGCCAAAGCGTTTGAGTCAATGACCACCGCAGAATACACAGGCTCCCACGTCCTCCCCCCACCTCCAGCAAGCAGCAGCTAACCACCTGAAACCCCTGAAACAGAGGTGTCAAAGCTGAGCCACTGTACCTCGCTCAGAACACACAAAGAACCGCACGGTGAGAAAACCCCCTGATTACTCAAAAGAGGCTGTCTAATGTTTTGGGTGTTAACACACCTCGGTGTTTGTGGCAACTTCTCTGTTTCCACAAGCTTCTTATCTGAGCTTCTAAGCTTCTACGGGACGACAGACTGCTACCATCAGGTGTTTTGGGACGTCAGGAGCACATGCAGGCCAGCAGGGACTCGGCTAAATTCTCCATGAAGAATGTGGAATTTGTTTCAAAGGGGGGAGCGAGCCCCAACAGAAGTCTGGATTTACCAAAATAAACTAATTTCACAATTACGCCAAGGTCAGGGTCAGTTCAAATGCTAATGTGTAACTGGGAAATATTATTCTGCTCTCCTTTTAACCTTGGTCTGAATCTGTTTCTGCAGCGCCTAACTATCTGCCAAAAGTAACATGGGAAAATGATTTAACAGGGAGCGCTTTGCGTGACAAGCAGGGCAGCAGAGCAGGATACTCTTCCCCCTTTTACACACAGTGGATGTGGGATATAGGCAACCTTTATCTGTTGTCTGCGAGAGAGAGAGAAGAGGAGGGAAAAATTACCTACATGTGGCCTCAGAGCAGTTAGCCGGGTTATTATTATTATTAGTTTCAGCCACAATGGCTGTTTGATTAAAAGTGACAGCTTTGTGCGCAGGAGAGGAGGCAGAGGGAGAGATAAACGAGTCCCTGGGGTTTTCAGATTGAGGATGTGAAATGATGTGGTGAGGCACTAACCAGCCCAAAACGAATCAGACGGATTGGTGGTCAGAGGGGGGACTCCAAGTCCCTGGTGCGCATGGAACCAAAAGGGCTGGAAATACGAGGAAGGAGGAAGGAGGAGGAGGAGGAGGGGGGGAAAAAACGGCCTGGAAATTAATCGAATTTTAATTAAGCCCCTCTTCTTTAATATTCAAAAGCAAGGCGGCTGCGGGCTTAGTTCACTTAGGTCTTATACATTTCAGATTCGCACTTACTGCCAATAAATCATATTAATTCTACAGTATTTGTTATCGCCGTGGCCCTGAAATTCTCTGCAGGGAAAAGTCAGATAAAATATTCAGAGGCAGGAGGGGAAAAGGTGCCCAGCAGGACGTGATGAGGGAAGAAATAAAGAGCAGCAGATGGAAGTTTGGGGGGGAGGAAAGGCGCGCTCAGAAAAAGATGCTTCCTATGCAGGTTTATTACTTACATTGTGCAGTTTAAAGTACAGGCCGCAGGCGTTGCACACCGGGTCCCCGTTGGCGTTTCTCCGCCACAGCGTCGTCGTTGTCGTCTGACAGTTCGCGCACGACGTCCCTGCCCGCCTGGCCGCGGACTGCAAGACACAAGAGAGAGGCCACAGGAACGTCACATGACCGCGTAATGACCCAATCAACATGAAGATTTATTCTGACAGCTTCGACACCAGCATCCAGGGCTGCAGTTGGTGCGGAAACACTGATTTTGTTTTGTAATTTTGTAATTTTTGGGGGGGGAGTAGTTTGCTTCCAAAGAGGCCCTGTGGCACACCTTGGAGGCATTGGGGAAATATGTGATTTGTTTAAAAACGCACCGTGGTAAATGTGTGTTTTAAATTTGAGTCTGTGCAAATTTGGCAGCCCTGTACACCTCGCAGAAGCCTTTCTATGCGTAAAAGTAAATGTATTTCCTTCTGTTTTATTATTTATCACACAGTAAACGCAGCTTTATTCTCACTCCTTGCATTGTTCAAAATAACATATTTAGATGGACTGTGTACATTTCTACCTCCACCCAATAGGGTTCGTTTTCGTGCATTTACTGCAAAGCTGAAAATAGCTTAAAATAAGGAAAGAAATACGAAAAAAAAACAGAGCTGCTTTCACTGGAGGCTAAAAATAGCGTCATAGAGCACATACCTCCTACTGAATAAATATTTACAGAAGACATAAAAGCAGAGCCTTGAAATGGGAGAGCTATTAAACCTGATTAAATTTCCCCTCAAAGTTTGTGCCACGAAGCCCTGTTTTAAACGTGGACCTCAAACAATCGCAATGCAAAGAAGGAGGCTCGCATGGATTCACGTTGGTATCGATTTTGTGCTCTGCAGGGCTGTGTGCTTTACGCTTCTAAATATGGACACTATGGATGCCACGTATGGATGCAGGATGCAGTGAAATGAGCCACATGGCACTAATTGCACGCCAGTTAAAAGCATTTTGTTGGGAGGGGGGAGAAAAAAAAAGAGAAATGAAAAAGTGGATATTTTTTTGGAGGGGCTCCGCTGCAGGCTACTAGCAGAGTAAAACCCTCACTTCATCCTGACACAGTGAAAGTCGTGTCTTCCAATGGATTTTAAAGCTGCCTGCCTCACAGCACCAGTCTGCTGCAGTGGCTGTGTGACATTGATGTTATAATCTCTAAAAACAATCAATAGACAGGTGACCGCAGAGGACACGCCGACGTAAAGGACTACATTATCTCTGGGAGGGATTTCCAATTATACACATGTGGTGGCCTAATAACCCCTGCTGCTGTGTGCTTTGAATAACCAATCAAATTGCAGGAATAAACCGAGAACGATCATCCATCTCATAATCGGCACTTTTTTCTTGGAGCGTCACTGCGTTTTTACGCACGGATTTAATATTTCCTGCCACCAAAACGCGTAATTTGGATCCTGTCTCGCCACTCTCTGGTGAGATTTCCTTCCATAGATTTAAAAAAGGTCAAGCCTAGCGTGGCCTCTGCATATACCTGCCCATCCTCCGTGTGTTTAAGCACAGATTCTAACCCTAAACAATCTCAAGTCGTGACTGTGCGCCGGGCCCTGCGTGGCTCGGGCTCCGCAAGCCTTTATGTTTTGACTGGGGAAGCGGGGCTGTGTTGTTAAAAGCGACTTATCTGCGCTGCTCAGATATCCGGCAGCCCTTTCCTGCAACGAGAAGTCGGGTTTTTGCATTAAGAGGCGAAGTGGCGGAGAGGAGAAGTCCAGAGCAAAGCAGAGCAGAGCAGGACTGGACAGCCATCTTTGCCTCGAAAGAATCTTTTTTTTTTTTTTGGAAACGCCAGGGGAACTCCTCTAAAGCTCATAAGAGATGCAGCTCTGATGAAGAGGGGCTTTCCCTGCAAAATATAATTCCACCTGAAGCAAACTGAAAAAATTGCCCCAAAAAGTAAATAAACAAAAATCTAATTTAAAACGATTTTTTTTTTTTAATAAAAAATTTGGAGCTCATTGTGCGTAATGAATGGCACATTTGCGCATCTCCAAAAAAAAATACACACAATATGGGGAGGCCCTATTGTTGAAACTGTGCATCAATGACAATTTTAGCAAATAAAAAAAAAATAATCGTTGCATTTTTTTTTCTTTGTTTTTTTTTCTTTTGCAAAAAAATAATAATAAACTGTGCAGTTTTTTTTTTCTTTTTTTTTTTTGCTATGGTAGTATCTGAAAACAGAGACCTGCACTTGTCGAGTCAATTTCCTGCAGCTAATAGGCCTACTTCTTCCTGGATAGGGGAAAAACAGAGAGAGAGACGGAAAAATGTCATCAATAGAGAAAAATGTGGTGGAGACGTACCAGCCGCCGCTTGGGCTTGATGAGAGGGCGATTCTGCCCGTTCATCTTGTGATAGAGTCCGCAGGCGTTACACAGATAGTGACCCGTACCGTCCCGCCTCCACAGCGGAGTCGACGTGGCCCCGCAGTTCACACACTCTCTACCCTCTGCAACACACACGCGCGCACACACACGCGCACACACACACGCACAGAACATGGAGATAATGTCCAGGTCAGTTGGGCCTTAAAAACTACCAAAATAACACCAAATAATAACAATAATAACAACAATAAATCATGCATGTGATCAAAGCTGGGAATAAAAAGGTTAATGCATTTGATGGTAAAATTACAATTTCTGTAAATAAAATCTGCAAATATCAACAAACACTTATAATAATTGTAATAATTATTAATGTCATTATTATTATAAGCAGTGGCATTATTTTAATAACCATCACACACACGTACACACACACACATATTGAAACACATGTGGTTGGTGTTGGTTGTGTTCAGGTCCAGAAGGCAAGAAATCATTTCAATAAACCCACAAAACCTTCCCTGAATATTATCAAACTGCATAAAATGTAGTTTGGTCCGGGATCAATTTCAAAATAAAATCTGATAAAAGCAGGCCTGCTTCTCTCTCATCAGCCAGTT